GTGATCTTTTCCATTTTTTAATTTCCCGTTCTTTGAGACATACTGAAAATTTTTAGTTTAATTTAATAGATTTCCTTTCTTCCTGTATTTGGTCAGGTCCTACCAGGCTTCATTCTCTCAGTACCATTTCTACCACATAATACATTGACCATAAGAAACAGAGACAGTTAGTTAAAAATATTTATTAAAAGCCCACATGTGCCAGAAATTGAGTCTCATGGTACAAAAGTGAAATGGGGCCTGCCCTCAAGGAGCTCACATTCTTCTGGATGGACACAATGTACTTGTAGACAACCAAATACTGGATATATGTAGGGGAAAAAACAAACAAACACTCAGATGATTTCAAGGGGCAGATAGGAACCAGTGACCAGGAGATTGAGGAAGAGCCTCTTGAAGGAGATGGTACTTGATCTGAGCCTGGAGGGGAGCTAAAGGAAAGTGGAGGCAAAGGAAGGGGTGCATCCCGGCATGGCACCAGTGTGTACAGAGGCACAAAGATGAGGTGAAATGCTGTGCACAGGGAATGGCATAAGGGGAAATAGCACATAATAAGCCTGGACAGAGGCTCTGACCAATAACAAAGAGGAATATATATTTTATGTACTTAAAGCAATGGGGAGCTGCTGGAACTTTTTGAGTTGGATGTTGCTATTAGACCTGTGTGTTAGGAATATCTTTTTGGCAGTTATGTGGAGGATGGATTAGAAAGGAGAGACCACCACAGTAGAAGGATAGAGATATAGAGTTGGATAGAAACCCAGGAAGGACAAGGCTGAGACGTATGGTGGAGGGTGTGGGGAGTGGTGGTAGGGAAGGGAGCTTTATTCTAGACAGCCTGTAACTCAGAATCCCAAGGATTCAGGGGAGATTGGCATACTCTTTTAAGTAGCTATGGGAATCTTGATTTAATTATTATTTCTAAAAAAGAGGTGGAAAATGGGAAGAGATATGAAGGCCCTGGAAAAGAAAAATAACAAGAAACACACTATGTAGGCCCTAGTGTCCTGGTGGGTTGGTTTGCTGTGAGGAATGTTGGTGGAAGTGAGGTTTGACTTACTTGTCAGTCAATAACCAAGGCAGATCTAACTTAGGATAAGTCCCAAAACATAAACAGATTAACATCCTCAGGCCTGGGGAACAGGGTCTCTAAAAATCCAGAGTTGCTGTTCCTAATAGAGGCAGGTAGGTGGCAGAGGGAAGAAGCCTTGATGTCAGAGTGGAATAGTTGGGTGGGATGAAGCTCATTCTAGAGATGAGGTAGGACAGTGAAAGGTAATAAATCCTTGGATTTGGGACTTAGGAAGATCTGGGTTCAAGTCCTGCTACCTCACACCAGCTTTGTCACCCCGGACAACTCATTGAACTCTGTGTCTCAATTGATTCCTTAAGACTTACCCTACTAAGTCATCAATGACTTGTAATCTTTATTGGTGGAGGACGTTCCCACCCTGATGAAATCATAGATCTTTCTAGGATCCTGTTACACACAGAGTACTGAAATACAGGAATACCTCAGAGATATTGCAGGTTCATTTCTAGACCACTGCAGTAAAGCAAGTCACATGAATATTTTGGTTTCCTAGTGCATATAAGTTATGTTTACATTATGCTGTAGTCTACTAAGTGTGCAGTAGTATTAACTCTAAAAAACAATGTGCATACCTTAATTAAAAAGTACTTTATTGCTAAAAATGCTAACCATCATCTGAGCCTTCAATGAATTGTAATCTTTTTGCTGATAGAGGGTCTTGCCTCAGTGTTGATGTCTGCTGACTTATCAGGGTAGTGGTTGCTGAAGATTGGGGTAGCTGTGGCAGTTTCTTAAAATATGGCAATGAAGTTTACTGCTTCAGTTGACCCTTCACCTTTCACTTGAATGCTTAGAGGCTATTGTAGGATTATTAATTGGCCTAATTTCAATATTGTTGTGTCTCGGGGAATAGGGAGGCCTCTGGAGAGGGAGAGAGATGGGGGAATGAAGGGTTGGTGGAGCAGTCAGAGCACACAACATTTATCAGTTAAATTTCTGTCTTATGTGGGTGTAGTTTATAGTACCCCCCCCCAAAAAACCAATTACAATAGTAATGTCAAAGATCACTGATTACAGATCACCATAATAGATGCAAAAATAATGAAGGGGTTTGAAATATTGCAAGAATTACCAAAATGTGACAGACACACCTTGTGAGAGTATATGCTGTTGGAAAAATGGTGCTGATAGACTTGCTCAATGCAGGACTGCCACAAGCCTCTAGTTTGTAAAACAAAACAAAACAAAATGCAAAGTCTGTGAAGCACAATAAAGTGAAGCACAATAAAATGAGGTATACTGGTATTACAGTTCAAATGTGGAGTTTTGGCTGTCATTAAGTACAAAAAGAGATAGCAGTAAAAAGTCTTACATATCTGTTTCATTTCACATCTACTTGTCAAATACTTTCCAGCTTCATATAGATTGTTTTTGGAGGGTTTCAAGGGTCTCATGCCAAGCTTTCTGTTCCATTACATTGCTTTTTGCTGTTTTGTGATGCATCAATGCTTATAATCTTCTTTTTTTTGATCTTCCTTCAAAAGGTTTTACAAGTCACCCTTTATTCTAAATCAGGATTGCCCTTGACTGCCATGTTGTTAAGATTTGTTGAGAAGATCAAATGCTTGTTGGATAAGGTGACATCTGGGTACCTTTGACCTCACTGTGGCATTTGCTTTTAGATCAGTGAGTTACCCAGGAAATGGTAATAATAAGAGTTAATGTTTTTACTTTTTTCTATTTTTCAACATCAACAGCTTATTTATATAGGGTATGTTGGACCTGTTGTAACTGAACATGTGTAATCTTTTTATCTTTAACATTTATTAAATTTGGTATTTTGATTTTAATTTGAGCTTTACTTTAATCTTTCAGTAATTTGACTGCATAGAGATTGCTGATTCTGAAATTGCCGCTGCATCAGCAACCAGTCTTTTCTTGCTTATTAAAATAGAGTCAGTTTCTTTGTAGTAATATTTGCTTGCTATGTTCAACTCTTTTTGAAGGTCTTTTCGAAGAAAGTGTTTGTAATATCCAGGCCTGACATTTCTGAGTGAATAGTCAGCAAGCTTTTGGACTCTTTCATTTTCTTAATCTCTAACCACATTTTTCAGTGTTTTTCACTGGCCTCCTTGGTGCCCTTCTTTCATGGAAACCACTGAGTATCGAAGTATATATCGACATAGTTTGAAAGATCTTGCCAAGTTATTTGTAGAATTTTACTATATGTTCATCTACTGCTAAAGATTTTGGTGCCCAAGCTACGACAATTTTCATGGTGATGCTCTTGCTTGTGCTTTTCGTGAACACTGTGAAAGCAAGGTAACCAAGTATCCCGTGAAATGTTTCTTACTGCCTTTGGATACATGATGAAACTAATTTTGTTAACTACTTTATTAAATCATCTGAAAAAAATTTGTGAGTCATCCTGATTTCTGGTTTTATTTATATATATACACACACGTATATATGGGTGTGTATATGTATTTGTGTATGATGTATATGGGTGTGTATATATGTACACACACACACACACACACACACACACACACCAGTTCCTCTACAGGTATATCTACTCATATGGAAATTTTTTATTTAGAATACCAGAAGCCAAAGTAAGGTTTATAGAGAGAATAAAACTGTAAATTTTGGCAGCCACCACCCTTTTTGCTTCATCACTCTGAATGAGGAGGCTGAAGGCGACTCTAACGATAGGGGGACAGACATTTTGTGTCTTTATCTCTTTCTTCTTTGGTCATAGCAAAAAAAAATAATTCATTATCTAATACCCAATCTTCTGTGTTTTTTTAATTTAAAAAATGATATATTTTATTTTGATACAACAGATACTTTTCAAGAAATGATCAAACAAATCCTTTAAAAAGTGCCAAGAAAACAGACTGTTGATGATTAACAGAAAGGGAGGGATGTGTCCTTAAACTTTGAAACAAGTTGTTAACGTTATATTTGGCTAGAGTCTTGTACCAGCCGTCTGCTAATAATCATTTCTGTATCTAGATAGTCTGAGCCTTGGCAGCAGACACTGTCTATAGCCAGCACCATATATCCATAAACCCTTTCCAGCTTGGTAGAGCCTGCCAGAGCCCATGCTCTGCTGGCAGACTTCTTGCCACATTGAGTGAGGCTTTGGCGAAGGAAGGAGGGAGGGAGTGAAGATAGGAAGGAAAGAAGGAAGAAAGGAAACAGGCATTTATTAAATGCTTATTTATGTGCCAGGCACTAATCTAAGCCCTGGGGATACAAACACAAGGAAAAAAAGAGTTCTTACCCTTAAGGAGCTTACATTCTAATGGAGAAAGACAGTGTACAAAAGGGAGTTGAAAAAAGCGGAGATGAAGGAGCCCATTTTGTAAGGATTTGATTACATACTGATTTTGCCCTTATGAGTGTTATGTAATATATGTAGGAATACTTCTGGGTCAGGATTTATTGAGCTTAACATGAATGCTTCTGGCCTGAATGAATGCTATAAGGATTAATGAGATAAACTGCTTTACCTGTTTTGAAACAGGATTTGTCATATTGTCAACATTAAAGCAGTCTTGTCTCTAATTTACATAGTGTGTAAGAAGAATTCTAATTCATTTGACTCATGGGTTTAAATTCTGTATTTTTTTTGGACTTCATGTTTGCTGGCTATAGATTGATTTTAATATTCATTAACACAGATACTATCTAAATACTGGTCGTTGATAATTATTTAGAATGTATTTTACATATCATATAATAGTTTTTATTCAATGTATTTTCTTTTATAGAAAATATATATTGAGACAACTTGTAATCTTGTTAATTACTGACTTTAGTAAATTTTAATGTTGTATTTTCAGATTTAGAGAAAAGAAGTTCTTCAGATCTATTTATTGTTTGAAAATTCAAATTAAATGTTACCATTAAATCTTCAAATTTGACATGGTTACACTTTTCTCTATCTTTTATTTCTTAGGTTATTATCGAACTGAGAGAGATAAAGGGACACAGTATGAACTCTTTTTTAAGAAGGCAGACCTTATGGAATACAGACATGTCACTTTGTTCCGACCCTTTGGACCTCTTATGAAAGTAAAGAGTGAAACAATTGACATTACCAAATCAGTTATTAATATCATTGTACCTCTTGCTGGAAGGACTGAGGCATTTGCACAGTTTATGCAGAACTTCAGGTAACTGCGTTAGGATTTTAAGGAATCCATATAACCATCTTAAAAGAAACCTTCATATTCCACCTTTTTTTTTCCTACTTTGTCAGAGTGACTTGAATTTACAGAATATATATGTGACTTACACCTGTTTATGGTATTTGAGTGATAGTATAACTGATGCTGTAATAATTCCTGCATACATTAAAATGTCTTACCTTGAAAATCAAGTTTGTTTTACTCCAATCATTTGAAGCCCAGTTCATTTTCTTGATGAAAATGAGATTTTTTTTTTCTACTCTGATTTTATTTTAGGGATGTATGTATTCTTCAGGACAAGAGGATTCACCTTACAGTGGTATATTTTGGTGAAGAAGGACTATCTAAAGTCCAGATCATCTTAGAATCAGTTTCTCGGTAAGCAAGTCAGTAAGTAAACATGTTCATATATGAAAGTTTACTTATTTTGAATTGCTGTCAGTGTTTTCTTTTTTTCCTGCAGTCTAAGCGATAGTGCCTGTTGAAATGATAGTTTTTTCCTATGATTTTCTTATGTGTCTTTTTCTCTTTACTTATCTGGGTTTTCAATTCCGTTGTATCTATTTTTGTTGTATCTGTCCAAATCTGAAGATAAGAGAAATTGTCTTTGATAGAGAAACTAGAAGTGTTTTGAAACTCTCCAACCTCCCCTGCCTCTCATAACAGTATACTCTTCTAATTCTCTTTTCTTTCTGATGGCCTGTTATGTCCTCTTTGGTGATTCTTTCTCCCATCTCCTAAATGTGATGATCCACAATGTCAGCCAAATATTTCTTCTCTCTTAGAGGTCTCATCTCATCTCTGTGAACTCTCCCTTTGTTCATTGCCATGTCAGATTTCTTTCCTGCCTCTGATCTTCTTATTTCCAAATAGCCACTCAGCATTTCCACCTGCATTTCCCATTGGCACTTGAAAGTCAACCTGTTTAAAACTGAACTTGTCCTCCTTCTCCACAGCTCTATAAAAGCTTCTTTAACCAGTTTTTCTCCTTCATCTAATTCTCTTATTTCTTCCAGAAGTGAACATCAGTCCTCTTTGACTTCTTTTTCAGCACCTCACTTTCCATCTCCACTGCCACTGCTCTGATTCAGGTCCTCCTTTCATCATGCTTGGATGGTTGCCCTCGCTTCCTAACTTCCCCCTCCCTTCCCCCATGTTCCTGCCAGATCAGTCATCCTGAAACACCACTTGACCATTTGATCATATGATTGCAATGCTCAGAACTTTAGTGGTTCTCAGTTGCCCACAGGGTTGTTTATATTCATGGCTAGCCAGGTGACCTTAATCTACCTTTCTAGTTCATATTTTCCACTCTTCTCCTAGCAGTTCCTAACTTCTTGTGTGTCACAGACCCTTTTGGCAGTCTGGTGAAACCTAGGGACCCCTTCTCAGAATATTATTGGTTGAGTACATTTATAAATGAAGGAAATGAAAAATTATGGTTAGAGATCAGTGAAAATAAAGATGTAATTTTTTTCCCCATTCAAGTTCATGGATCTACTGCATGGTCTGTGTATCCCAGATCATGAACCTTTGCCCTGTAAGAACTTGTTGCACTAACCATACTGGTCTACTCAGTGCTTTAGAATACACTTTGAAAGCATCTTTGTCCCTTTCCCGAATGTCCCTTTTGGGAAAGACTTCACTTTCTGACTGTTAAAATCAAACCCAACCCTTTAAGTACCACTTAAATTTCCCCTCTTTGAGCTTCAAAGTCTTACTATGTCACTCTTCTCCCAAATTATCTCTTCTTTCTCTGAACTCTTATAACATATTCACCCTTTACCACTTATTTGCCATTATTTTTATTGCTTAACTTTTTTTTATGTTTACAAACCTTATTTCCCTACTTTTATATTAAGCCATTATAGTTCAGGAACTTCTTTGTATTATATCTCACAGTACCTATCATGTAATAGGTGTTCAATGAGTGTTGATATAAATGAAACTGGTAATATCCCTTCAGACCTCTGGGATATGATTTGTTAAAGATACAGGTGACTTGAAGTCATTTGGGAGAAACTAGGTACTCTTTTACTATCTACTTGTTTTTCATTACCACGTCAACATTGTTTTACATGCACACATACATACATACATACATATACACACACACACACATATATATACATATTTCAAATGTATTTTCTCTAAAAATTGCCTTGGGAAGTTGTATTATAATTTTTTTAGAATTACATCTTTTTTTGTGTCTGTTTTTCTCTTAGTGAAGCTAATTTTCACAATTTTACATTGGTTTCATTGAATGAAGAATTTAATCGAGGCCGAGGACTAGATGTGGGTGCCAGAGCCTGGGACAAGGGAGAGGTCTTGATGTTTTTCTGTGATGTTGATATATATTTCTCAGCAGAGTTTCTTAACAGTTGCCGATTAAATGCTGAACCAGGTATGTAAAATCTTAGTAAATTTAATTTGAAATTTCAGAGTATTTACATATTTTGTTTTTATATGGAGAAATTTACTGTTGAATTTTCAGTTATATATGCAGTTTATAATAAAATTGTAGATCCTTGAACTATTGAAGTGAAATGTGTAGGACAACTAGAAAAACAGAAATGTGATCAGTAATTGAAAATCTACAGCATATCACCAAAGCTAAAACCTGAAGCCAAGCCACCCAACGAGCAGGAAAAGAATCTTTGTTATAAGGTTAATTGACTAATTGGTTGGTTGGTTGTTGCCCTTCGTTCTTGAAGAGGACCAAAATGACATCACTATATTGGGGTCAAGGAAGGTGCTGTGCTCTGTGAGCAAAGCAAAATTGCAGTAGCTCAAAAGAAATGTGAGATGTGAAATTTAGAGCCACGTTCACTCCAAATGTTCATATGTTCCAAGCTCATATTGATTTGATCAGCCACAAGGATAATAGGTGTGCAGAGAACAGGAGGAGACATAGTGGTTGTATGATCTCATGTTTCTCCTAATTAGAAAATAGTGATCTAGTACTTAAATATCTACTGTGTGCCAGGCACTGTGTCTGAAGTAGAGGGAGCAAAAAGCAGTCTCTGTTCTTAAGGAACTCACAGTCTAATGAGAGAGAACACATGATACAACTGTGTATCAATAAGATATACATTGGAGGGAGTGTCAGAGGAAAAGCACTAAAATAATAATTATAATTATAATAGCTAAAGTTCATATAGCATCTATACATGCCAGGCACTAATCTAAGTGCTTTATAAATATTACCTCATTTGATGGTCAAAATAACCCTGAGAGACAGGCGCTGTTATTATCCCCATTTTACAGTTGAGGAACCTGAGACAGCCTAAGGTTAAATGACATACCTAGGGTCACACAGCTAGGAAATATCAGACTAGATTTTAACTCAGATCTTCCTGACACCAGACCCAACACTCTATCCACCACATCACCTACCTTCCTGGCACAAGGAGTATATTCGTGGTTTGCAAAACTTCAGACCCAGTTGATCAGCATGCATTCCTCTAGCATATGTTACGTGTCAGGTACTGTGTTAGGTGTCACAGATACAATGATAGAAATCAAACTGACCCTATCCTTTGGGCACTTTCATTCTGTCAGGAGAAGCAACATGTATCCTATTGCATAAATACCCAGTATATCTGCAATACATACAGAGTTATTTGGGGAGGCTCGGAATTCCCAGAGGCAGCGTGGAGGGAGTACATTTCAGGCATGAGGCACTGACAGTTTATGCAAAGACACAGAGACAGGAGCTGGAGTGTTGTGTACTAGGAATAATACCTGGTTAACTGGGACATAGAGTATGTGAAGAGGAATAATGTATGAGCCTGGGAAGATAGGATCAGAGGGTAACAGATGTAGGTCATTGAATCTTTCTCCTTTGTTCTGTAGAGGTGAAAACTGAAACTGTGGTTCATTGACTTGCCCAGATTCATACAGCCAGTATGTGTTTAAGGCAGAATCAGAATCCATGTCATCCTGACTCCAGGTCCAGCCTTGTGTCCATTAGACGCATAGGCTGTAACCAGACAGAGGAGGGTTTGGAGTGAGATGTCATGAAGTCTGTATTTGATTTTGGTGGTGTTAGGGTCCCCTGGAGCTTTTTGAGTCTGGAGTTATGTGGTCAAACTTGAGATTTAGGAATATTCTTTTGAAGGGTAGATAGTAGTGGAAAGAGACTTGAGGAAGGGAAACCAATGAGATGGCTGTTTCGATATTCTGAGTGAAAGGTGATAAAGCCCTGAAGCAAGATGGTGGTCACGTGAATGTAGAGAATGGGATGAATGTGAATATTGGGCAACTGATTGGATCTGGGGGATGTGGGAGATTACTTTGGGGCTATAAAACTTAGATGTCTAAGAACAGTGGTGTCCTCAATAGAAATAGGTTAGGAAGAGGGGAACATTTTCATGGAAAGGTAAATTCTGTTTCAGGCATAGTAAATTTGAGATGTCTATGGAGCGTCCATTGTGAAATATTTGCGAGGCAGTTGTTAACATAGGATTGGAGCTAGAGAAAGAAACTGGACTGGATATATAGTTGTCTGCATAGAAATAATAACAAACTGTGAGAGCTACCGAGATCACTGAGAGAGAAGGTAACAGAGAGAGGAGAGAAAAAGAAGGCTGAGGAGAGTCGTGGGTTACAGCACAGTTAGGGACTAGGATATAGATAATGATTTTCTAAAAAAAAGATATTTTGGTCTCAGAAGTCATAGGGATGGTGAGTGGAATAATAAAGTAGCCAGTGGACAATGTTTTTTTTTTAAAGAAATCTTTTTCAATTCATGTGGATTTGATTACAATTCTTTGGAACAAAATATGGAAGATAATGGGGGAGATATGTATGTAGGATCACATTTTGCCACTTACTAGTCTTAAGATTTTCCATGAATGTTATCTTTTCTGGGCCTCTGTTTTTTCATCTGCCAAGCAGATGTCTACCTCACAGGTTGTTGAGAAGTTCAAATGATAGAACATATTAGAAGCTGCTTTGATGACTGTGAAGCACTATGCAAGTGTGAGATAATTTGCATTTTTTATATTGAATTTTCTTACCAAGATATATATCTATACAACTTAAATTCCTTTTGTGGTATCATCTCAAGTCCTGAAAAAGCCATTTAATGTCCAAAGAATACATGACATACTTTGAAATTCCTGTGGAAATGAACATTACATATGCCCTTCTTTCCCACCTTCTGGTTTCCATTAGGGCTATATTAGTCTAATGATAGTTCTTATTTTGTGATACTGTTATTTGTCCTACATACAGTAGTCCAACTTGCAAAATTGTTTTTTTTTCCTTTAATTTACTACCTTTACTAATGTATGATGCCTTTTTAGTAATTTGTTTTTAAAGAATGCATTAACAACACTTATTTTGTCTGACAATTTTAGACAACTAGCCTGAGTGTCTGGGATATCCCTCAGCCTGCCATTGCCTTAGATGTTTTGCCAGGCTATTCCTGAAGGCTGTGATATTTTTATAGAATTAATCAGTGTAATGCTGGAAAGAATATTCATTAAGATCTTTTTCTTCTGAAACTTCTTTGATTCTTATAATATAGTTTCTTTTTATTCACAGGAAAAAAAGTTTTTTATCCAGTGGTGTTCAGTCTTTATAATCCTGCTATTGTTTATGCCAATCAAGATGTGCCACCACCAGTTGATCAGCAATTAGTAAGTGTTGTTCAGTTGTGTTATGGTAGGTTTAAAAATACTTTCTTGTTTTCTAGAATTATTTGTAATCTCTTTGCTTTTAAATCTGACCAGAAAAAGTTGACAATCTGAAACAAATCCTATGTAAATACAGTTTTTCATTTTCTTAAATGTCTTGAAATTTATTTTGCCAGTCTTAAATATGTTTTTGCCAAATCAAGTAAGTTTTGAATAATTAACAAAAAATCAAATTTTAAGTAAAACCTGTTCAGCATTTATGGAGTCTGAGTCTGAGATATTTGTGGTTATATCAAAGTATTGCTTAAATGCTTGAAGTGATATATTTAGTTTTTAAAATACAAATTTCTTTGGTTGGACTTTGGCTTTAGATATTACTACTCTGAATTTAAGATATTGAGTTCTAGTCTCAGCTTTTCTACTAATTTCCTTAAAGTGGCAAGAATTTGTAATCCACAGACAATGTGAACTGTTAACAAAAGTTTCAAAATATGTTTAAATGCTCATAATTTTGTAAGATTATGTAAATGTCTAATTTTGTTCAAGATAGAAAATAGTTACATTTGGAATGTTGTATTTCATTTGCTTTTGACTTATTTTTGTGTAGTCAAAACTCAACTAGCTATTTTATTGATTTAAAATGAAAAATGATTCAGATTTATTATTCAAGGTCCACAAAAAAGACTCTGGATTCTGGCGAGATTTTGGTTTTGGAATGACTTGTCAATATCGAACAGATTTTCTGACTATTGGTAAGTTACATTCAGCTAATCCATAATATTTTCCTTAATTTTTAAGGATAGAGTTTCTGTGACCATTGATGTCTGATCCCTTACTGTATTTACTTTGATGTCAAATCTTTACTTGTGTTTGACAGTTTTTTTTAATTAAAATAGAAATGTCCATTTTCAAAGAGGATACTGAGGTTGAAAGGCAAAGTGTGGGGAAGGCATATAAAGGTTATTGTATGGAAGGGTCAAAAGATAAAATGTTCCCTACCACTTAGTGAAAGGACATTAGCTTATAAAATATCACAAGGATTTAATTTATGTGGAGGTTAGTTTCTTTTAATCTTTAAAACTTTGTAATCTGTTGAAGTACCTCAATTAGTTTTGGATATTTCTACAACAATGAGTTCTTAAACACTATTAATGTTTTTGTTGAACTCATAATGTTGTTATTCAAAGAACTCAAGAGCATTACTATGTAGGTAACACAAATTTAGTGGCAAAATTGTTTGCATTTTAGGTAAATTCTCTTGCTTATTACTTTAGAGGCATGAATGATAAGGTCTTAAGTTCTTGTATCTAGTGGTTTTAATTAAAGATAACAAATTAGGAAAGTGGTATAATGGAAGGAGATCTAGGTTTAGTTAAGATTCTCTTAGCTCTGTATCGGGCAATTCATTTAAGCATTTTGAAGTTAAATTGCCCTATGAGTTAGGCCCTTTTAGTTTTTTTGATATGCAGTGGTCAAAATAAGTCATCCAGCTATCATTATCAAAATTTTTTTATAAACATTGATACAGAAAAATTACTAAACCTTAATAATGTTGACCATAATTTTGTTCAGTAAACAGAAAAAATGGGTTACTAATAATATCAATTTTGATTTTGCAGGTGGATTTGATTTGGAAGTAAAAGGATGGGGTGGAGAGGATGTTCATCTGTATAGAAAATACTTACGTGGTAATCTTATTGTTATTCGAACCCCAGTTCCTGGTCTTTTTCACCTGTGGCATGAGAAGCACTGTGCTGATGAGCTGACCCCAGAGCAATACCGTATGTGCATACAGTCAAAAGCCATGAATGAGGCTTCTCACTCCCACCTTGGAATGCTTGTCTTCAGGGAGGAGATAGAGACTCATCTCCATAAACAAGCATATAGGACAAATAGTGAACCTGTTAGATAAATTACCCATCATTTTAATGCATTATAATATGAACAACAACCAGCACTATTCACTTGCCTTAATTAGTTTACAAATGCAGTGCCTCTCTCAAAGAACTTTTTATCTTTCAGATCTTTCTGTGCTTGACACAGTTCAGTTATCTGAAATGAGAAGAAAAATCGAGTGTTTAATTGAAATCCTCAATTTTGTGAGAATACAGCGGCAAAGAACAACTGCCCAATTTGTTCAATGAGAATCTAATATTTTCCACCCAAAGTTGTTATACTGTCTATCTTAGTTGTGGTACTGTGCTTTTCAGACATGACTTGATTATGTCTTTGCATTTGATCAGTTTAATTCATTCTGCTGATGGTATTCGTAGCATATTTATATTTAGGAAAGAGCGTGTTGTTTTCTGCTAAGTAGTAATGAGTGGCCATGCTTTTTGTGTCTGGATGAGGTCTGTGGTCATTGAGTACTTAATTAATCTTACTAAGAGAATGAGAAGCCGAAGAAGTTAACAGAGGAAAATTGGCTCACCTGTGGTCATTCTGCCAAGTACAACAGTAGCAGAGATGGGAACTTAATACCTTTGTATCAGTTTATTGCTTTGCCCACAAATCTCTGTGAGAAAATGTGTGGCAATGGGAAACTTACTGAAAAACTTGATTTTAGGTAAAAGTACATGGCTGGATTAGGTGTTTAACATTAATGTGCCATTACATTCTTAATCATCACATTACAAGGTTAGTAATCATATAGAAAAAAAAAGTAGCTGCACTATTTTTATATTAAGGAGAATAAAATATATCAAGAATTTTTGAAAAGTAGCATTAAGGAATTTTAGTTGAAAGGGACTTTAGAGATCATGTAGTTCAGTACCCTTGTTATACAACTGAGGAAACCAGTAATTTGCTAGAGAACACACAATTAGATAAGTGGAAGACAGGACCAGGAACTAGTCTCTCTGCGCTCTTAGTCCAGTGCTTTTACCCCCACACTTGCTGCCTCCACAGAAGAACCTTTCATTATGTTGGTAAATAATTCTGTATGAAGTGGCAGTTGGTGTATACACAAACAGCATTTGCTTATGTAAGCTAAGCAAACAGTCCTGTGGGTGAATTTCAGAATATATAAGGACTGTAAATTTAAATGAATGGGCTTTTAAAAAAATCTTTCTATTGCTATACATAACATGGGAAACAACCATTTAATTACGCCCATTTTCTGATGTATGTTGAAAGGTACTGTTTCTCTGGGAAAACTTGCTTGTATCTTTGGGTTGATAGGTTAGAACTTCACAGGAAATGACTCAGTTTACATGCAATAAGACTTCATTAATTTGGAATAATAGAAAATGAACAATGTAACATGTTGAAGTATCTCAAATATTTTAAAAGATCCATTTTATTAAAATATAAATTATAAATGAAGATAAACATGAATATTACTAATGAGGCATAATGTAGTGATTTAAAATCACATTTACAGTAAACCTTATAGTGTATCACAAATATTTGCTATGACATAAACTTATAGAAATTGTTTTATTTGAAAGTTGGAAATATATCAAAGTAATACTTAATTTTAAAAATCTTTTGTTTTAAAAAGGTACTGATTTTAGATTGGATTCCCCTTATTTTCACTAAGACTCTGAAATTTTAAAGAAAGACATATTTTGAACCTTTTATTAAGTAAGAATCACACTATTTTTGAATTGTTACAGATTCTAAGTTAGTGGGGTCTGTTAGGTTTTACTGTAGTTTTGATCAGTGTTTAATTCACCTCTACTTGAATGAGGTTGGATTTAGGCATTTAAGATATGGAATAAGATATACTGTTAAAAATTATTCTGGACGTCCTTTGTACATAAATTGCCTGTTATTTATTGTGAAGACTAGTGTATTATGGTATTTAAAATGAAAGAATGTAATCATTTGCAAAGGTAAGCTGCAACTGTTTCTTTTTGTATGCCAGAATTAGGTACCTTTTCTGCATTTGAATAGCTTTTTATTTAAGTATGAAAATTATGAAATGGAAACGTTACTATGTTTTCATCATTGTACGGTACCAGTAAAGTATTTTTATTACCAACAATTGTCTGAAAATGTCATCTTTTTTTTTTGTCTCAATGTGAGCTACAATGTCTGCTTTCTCCTTTACAAATCAGCAGCTGAGAAATACAAGAAGACAGCAGCTCTGTACTGTTTTAAGTAGACAGTCAGTGAAGCTGCTACTCAGGAGATGTTGATCACAGTGTATTTAGAAGATGATCTGTTTAGATCTAGAATGAATCTTAGAGGGCCTGATTTGTCCATTTACTCATTTAGTTATTGGCAGAAGTAAGTGGCTACTAATTTTTCCCCCGTATGTGTTGTTTGAATATCAAAAGTAAACACATTTTGTTATATAAAAATTTCATTGTACTGATGATTTTAAAGATTCTTATATTTTTATTCAAGATTTGACCTATACTTGCCTTCATTCTCCCTTACTTTGCTTAAAGAACCTGTAATCTTTAGTCACATGCTGTTGGATGAAGGTTGCCACAACATGGTGCCAAAGTTTTTTTATAAAATATTTCCTTGGCTAGAAATAATCTTGCTAGTAAGGATTAAATATGGAAATATTAGTTTTGATAGGATTATACTGGCCCATTTGAGGTGTTCTATAAAACAGAAGCCTCAATGGGAAGGTTCATCTTAAATACGAAAGTATATCTAGTAAAGGTAAATTTCAGAAACCTCCTAGTTTAATTTTTGTCATTAAAGTGACTCTTCATTGAAATTTTTAAAAGGCTAGCATTTTCTTTGAGACTTACAATTTTTCAAAATTTTTTGAAGTGGGGTTAGCCAGAAGGGAAAAAAAAAACAATTTCATAGTTACTAGCACAGCTAGAGGAGTATAAATTTGAGCCTTACATAAGTATTAGCATATCTAATTTATAGAAAATTCATTTCTTTTTCAATTGATTTGTTTTGCTAACTTTTATAATGGGTTTGCTCCTATACCTACATGTTACCATCTGTTGGGTTACAGAGTCTTTGAAGTTTGGGACTGTGTTTGACATCAATTAGTGTATAGTAGGTCCCTGACAAATGTTTATTAAATGAATAATTGCTTCTCATTTGGCAGTGGCTACTAAAAAAGTTCTGAATTTCTCTGATTCAATCTATTACTAGTTTGTTTTTTTTAACAAAACAGTTTTTGAAAGATGTCATTAAATAGTGGAGAACTTTGCTATTAAAAATATTTGTAATTTTTTTGTAATAATCACTTCCAAATTTGTTTTCTGTCTTGTAAGTTTTGCATAAGTGAAATGGCATACCTATAATTCAACTATGTTAATTTTAAGATTTATGCAGAACTTATCCTGTATTTATGTTTTGAGAAAGCAGTTCATCCATTGATCAGACAGTTACTGGATGAATGTTTGCTATAGGAAAGACGCTTTTGCTGTAGGCACAGAATTGCTGCAAAAATGGCGTTGTTCTTTTAACATAGGGATTATTAGTTTGCTTTCTAAATTAAACCTATATTTCTGGCTTCCTTTCTTTGTGTTAATTCAGCAGACTTGTAGATGTAACTTGGACTGCAGTTGTGATGAAATTATCAAGGTTCCACACAGAGTATGAGGGTTCTTACTTTGTATTAATCAATACTGTGTGCATGGCTATTAGAAAACATCAGTTTTCATCGAAGTGTTATGTAATGTTCTGTTTTATTTAAGGAACATTCTCTGAATTGAATTGAGTGCAGCAGAGTTAAAGAAAAACTAAATTGTATTAAAATGAATAATCTTTTAAGCCATGATGATGATTCTTGAGGTACTTTGTAGTAAGTAATGCAACAACTTTGAAATTGGTACTCCCTTCAGTGGCTTATTTAGTATAACTGAATCTAGCAAGTCTTCCTAAGTTTCCCCAACCTACACTGAGGCAATCATGTGCCTGTTTTGGATTAATTTGGAAATATTCTAATTTTGTCCACCAAATTCGGTCTGATAAACTGGTTTGTAGTGACTGAGAACGTGAGGGTAAGGGTAACGAACATGCTGCCTGGTGCTGCTTAGTCTGGGTTAGAGCACCATCTGGAGGACGCGAGAGGCATGACCAGCAACTAATAGGGAGGGACTTTGGAACGGAAGTTTTGTTTCTCTTATCAGGCAAAAGAGAAAACGCAGAATGACAAAACAGTAAATGGCTTCATATGGTCTAGTCAGGAGTCCTAATTCCTCTATGTTCCAGTTTAGCAAAACTGTTTTCTTGGCTCCTTAGTTGGGCAGATTAATCTTAAAATTCACAGGTTAGTTAGTACAATCCAGAGCTTTACTTTCTGATCCTAAGGAGAGTTGGCTGAGGATTGGGATCTGTCTTTGCTGAGCTTCTGAATGCCCAGGAAGACCTATTACTCATTTACCTTAGCTGGTTGGTGGGTCTTCTAGTCACATGAATAGCAGTTTGAGTTCTGAATGTCTCAGAACATAAATTCGTGGTCTAAACAGACCCGTGTTTTCCTCTGTAAGACGGGCACTTCTGAATGTTTATGCATACTGTTTCATAAGACTTGGTTTTGCAGGTACATCCAGGCTTTTGTTGTTGCCACTCAGGCTACAGTGTAGCGTCCTTATTACATATTCAGTATCTCAATCGAGGTCATAGAATGACAATTTTTAGTTGTAAATCTAAATTTCAAAGCAACATTTATTTTGCAGAGAGTGGTAAGAACAGGTAAGGTTTTCTAGTTTGTTTAACAGAATTTGAATATTTTATTTTATTTTATTTTTTATTTTGTTTTTTCAGGCAATTGCCCAGGGTCACACAGCCAGTAAGTGTCAAGTGTTTGGTCTGAGGCCGAATTTGAACTCAAGTCCTCCTGACTTCAGGGCAGGCTCTATCCACTGTGCCACCTACCTGTCCCTTGAATATTATAAATATTATAAATAAATATTATGATTGTATTATATTAAATATTATATTGAATATTATGTTGAATATATTGAATATTATATTGAATATTATATGAATATTATAAATAAACTATCACATTTCCCTTACCAGAGTTAGTGAACAGGCATTTATTAATCATTTACTATATGCCATGTACCTTGATAAGTGCTCGGAAAAAATCCCTAATTAGCAAATGTTTGCTGAAGGTTAATAGTTAAGTCTTCTCTTATTTTTTTCTTGTGTTTTTTCTCTATGAAATTTTTGTTATATTTTGTTTTTATATCACCATAATTTCTTAATGTATCACTCCCCTTCACCTAAAGAGCTATTCATTTTAGTAATGAATAAAAGAGAAAAAAATAGTTCAACAAAACTAGCCATCACATCAGCCAAGTTTATATACATATATGTACATATACATATATAATATTTCATATTTGTATATGGTAGTGCAGTGGGTAGAGTGCTCGGCCTGCAGTGTGGAGGACTCATCTTCCTGAGTTCAAATCTGGCCTCAGACACTTACTAGCCATGTGACCCTGGGCAAGTCGCTTAACCCTGTTTGTCTCAGTTCCTCATCTGTAAAATGAGCTGGAGAAGGAAATGACAAACCACTCCATCATCTTTGCCAAGAAAACCCCAAATGGGGTCATAAAGAGTTGGACACAACTGAACAACAACATATATTCCCCTCCTCTGCAAAGAATGGAAGGAGTAACACTCTTTTGACTCTTTTCTAGGGCCAAGTTTGATCATTATAATTATGTAGTATGCAGCTAAGACTTTCCCCAGTTGACCACTTCTTTTCTTATTCTAGTTGGATGAATTGTTTATGTGAAAGCTTTTCAGTTTAGTGTAGTTGAAATTATTTTATATTTTGTGATCACCTCTATGCTTTGGTTAAGAATTCTTCCCCTAGGGGCAACTAGGTGGTACAGTGGATAGAGCACCAGCCCTGGATTCAGGAGGACCTCAGTTCAAATTTGGCCTCAGACACGTAACACTTACTAGCTGTGTGACTCTAGGCAAGTCACTTAACTCCCATTGCTCACAAAAAAAACAAAAAACAAAAAACAAACGACCAAAAAAAAATACCTTCTCCTATAACAAAGTATAAAGAAACTTTTATTGGGACCTCGACTAAACAAATTGCACGTGAATATCAAGGAATATTAGCATGCTATGACAAATGATGAACATGGTAAATACAGAGATGCATGGAAAGATTTATATAAACTAAGATGCAGTGTATAAACAGAGCCAGGAAGAGAATATACATGACTACAACAATGTAAATGGGAAGAGCAACAAAAATAAAGCAATAAGAGCTGAATACTATTGAACTATAATGACAAGCATGACCCCAGAGAGCAGATATGAGAAGACATCTTCATCTTTTATAGAAGCAGGAGTTTATAGGTCTAGGACGCCAAATGTAATGCTAGACTTTCTGGATGGGTTGTTAGCTTTGCAGAATTTTTTTTTCTTCCTTTATGCTTTTTTATACATAATGGCTGTCTGGGCGGGGGAGGAGAAAGTGAGAAATAATAAGTGATTGAAAAAATATTATATATATATACACATATACACACACAAAAAATTATTTAAAAAATATACTCCACCTAGTGAGTGAAAGATACTGGGTCTGGTTCTATGTTTTTAACCTTAATAATTAGATCAGGTATCTATTTTAAACTTATTGTGGTATTTGGTTTAAACCCAATTTCTATCAAATTGCTTTGTAGTTTCCTGAGCAGTTTTTGTGGGAAAAAAAAAAAGTTCTTCCTCAAATGATGTATTTGAGTTTATTGTATTCCACATTGTTGGTCTTAGCTGTTCCTGGTTCTTATCTAGTTTGTTCTGCTGACTCCCTTTCATATTTTTAAATCCATATGAAATAGTTTTTATTACTTATTTACATCATAATTTGAGTTCTGGAAAAGCTATTCTCCTTCATTCCTACTTTTTTTCATGATTTCCCTTCAGATTCCACCAGATGACTTTCTAATTATTTTGTCCAGCTCTTTAAGGTATCCTCTTGGTAGTTTGCTATAGCATTAAATCTGTAAGTTAATTTAGCTAGTATTGTCACTTTTATTACCTTGGCACTCAGCTTTGCAATTTCCATCCTGGGACTCTGCTGTT